TTCCATGTTACGTGTTCCGTTGCATTGTAGAATGGCCTTTACCCTGAATTGTATTGCATTGATTTTAAAGTTTACATTAATCAATCGCGCTGACATTCGTAACATTTCTTCTTTACATATCTATAAAAATATGCTATTAATTAAGTCACTCCATTTTTAATGAATGGAAAATTAAGTCATTATAATCATTTTTACATAGAGTACTTACTGTACGTATTAAGAATCGGAAATATGTTTTAGCGTAATTTATTATAGACATTCACACAAAAAAGCATTCTTTGAATAATTCTTATTAGGTAGTAGGGGCCTCGATAATTTTAACTCAATCATCTTGAATAATGACTGCAACAACAGAGTTTTAATTTAACTTATGTATTATCGACGCGCTCGGTATTTTAATCGAAAAATGAAGCTTTACTATTTAGCTATACATAGTTATTTGAATTTGGAGAGAAACCCTTTCTCCAAAGTAGAACAATCATGTACTTGAATCTCGAATCAACCACAATATGAATATAAATAACGGTACACTTGATTGCGAGAAGGTTGTCAACCAACACAATTGTAAAAAGTAGCCAGTGGACAAACTTGCGGCAAGAACGATTAACCGATTCTTTCTTAATAGGCAAAAAGCCACTTCTGTATTAGCCAGGTCAATTGATGGCTTCGGGGATGAACACAATATACGATCTGGATTACATGGGTTGGCTGTTTCACACCATCCCCTAACTTCGTTAACGTAGCATGGCTAGTTGGAATTATGATGCGATCGATAACGACCAAATGGCTCTCGTGCTCGGCAAACTTATTTTTTATCTCTCCCGGTGTTCTCAACTTCGGACACTTATTATTCTAACATTTATTTAGATAGATAAATTTCGTAAATATCTACTATTGCTATAAAAATGATAATATTTTAGATATTGTTATCACAATTACTTTGCCAATTTAATAGACGCGCTAACCCGGGTAAAAATTTAAAGGCGTACAACAAGTTGACAACCGGTCAAAATCGAGTGTTATGAGCCTGTTGTATGCCTTCAAATTTTTATCCGGGAAGTAATGCTATTTTATAGCATCAAATATACAATAAAGGAACTTAATTTTTGTGATGTATTTTCGAAAGCACTACTTGTCATATAAACAATAAAACAATAAATATACGAGCATAATGATATGTTAAACATAGTGTTAAATATTTTCCTGTATTTGGACTTTCTTCACAGTTTTATTCATATTTATTACGACTCTGATTTTTACATACTTACTTAAATCTTATACACTAACCCAGTTTTATTGTTTTAACTGTTTTCTTATTTTCTAATGTCTCACAATTATTGTGAAACTAATACGATATATAGACGAAAAAATTAAGTCAAATTACTTACAATTAGTTTCTACGAGATCTCGGGTCAATCTTGGCGCAAGTTTAAATTTTATCGAGATCTTGGATCAATGTTGATTCGAGTTAGGGACTAACAATAAGTTTAACAAAATGTTACGTAGTTGAAATGTTATTGCGATTGTTGATAAGGAGTATCAAATAAAAGTATTTAATCAAAATAATCAAGATGTACTCTAAAGTAGGTGAAAGTTGTTTAAGGAGAAATTAGCTTTTCTTGCGTTAAATATGTCTTGTGAATTTTCTACTCGGTAGCTTTTAACCTAGCTTAATCGATCACTGGCCAATTTTGGAGGGATCAATAATACTTATTATATACATATACAATATATATAAATAAATTTGTACTTACCTACTATTTCGAATGGTGTAGCTTAGGTGTTACACAAATTTGGAGATATTAACAAAATATGAATGATCAAACAAGGATTCTTAATAATAATTCAAAGAATTGATTTAGTTGAACAAGCATATTGACTTTTGATTTTAAAGAAAAGATATGTACTCTTCTTTGAAGAAAATAATACGCTTAATTCAAATGAACTGTTGTTGAAATACAACGAAATACGAGGTTGGTCGTAACGTTTTCAGTTACTACAAACATCAAAAATTTTGTTTTACTCGACTAATTTATTGTTTGAAACGACAAAAGTATTAATGAGTCTTCTAATCCTTAATTAATCAAAGCGAAGTTTAATGAACGAGTTATCCATTACAACTACACCGCAGCTTAAAAGAAATAAAACATTTAATTGATTTGACCACGTTCTATTGCAGATTGAAACAACTGGATAGGTATAATCAAAATATATAAATTTCCGAGTAGGATGTCCCAACAAAATGTTAAAAATAAAGTTTCAAAACCTGTTCATAGAATAATTTTTTGAAAGTTTTCTCCTTGTGTAAAGGTCCACACGTAGTTGTTTATCAACATTTGGCAAGTCATTTTTAAATTTGGAAAGTACGTGGCACGAAGTTATAAATGTTTTAAATCCGAACGTGTTCAATTGATATTAATAAAGAAAATTTGTTGTCAATTGCTAAATTTAGGAATAATTTTATAATTTTTTATACGTTTGGTGATAGATTACTTAATGTTTTTAATTTTTGAAAAATTGTAACAGTAAGAAGAAGATTCATTATTTAATGTTGATTTGAAATTGATTTGAAAGATTCCTACGTAGATGGTAACCTTGCCATGCAATTTAGTGATATCAATAAAGAATAAAAGAAACATTTTGATAAATAAACAAAATAATATTCAAATAATTGGATAAAATTAATAAAAATAAATGAATAACGAAAATCTAATTTAATTTACAAATAATTATTAATCAGCTAGCTGTCATCTAACTTCGTCATGTGTAAAAAACGAATACTATCTACGAAAAAACATGTTTATACTGTTATGATTCGATTATGCTTACACTGAAAAAAAGGTTTGGTAAACTGAACAAAAATTATTTTGAATTAACTAAACCCGGCGGTCATGGGTGGCAAAGTAATTATGCAATTTAGTTGACCAAAAAATTGTATCAAACTCGAAAGAAACATTTCATATGCAACAACTATGTATATGCTTGACCCAACAAAGTGGACAGTCCATTCAATTGAATATTTCATTATCTTTATTCTATATTTGGTTAAATGTACCCAATGTACGATTACGTTACCAAAATCTTTACTTCAATTAATAAGTTTATCTTTCGTACCCAATTTTATAGTATAGTCTGCAGAGAAAAATAATGTGTTCAATGTGAAACCAAAAAGTTTTACCTGACTACACAAAATATCGTCGGTATTCAATATTTATGTTGCTTGATTTTATGTATATATTTTTTGAAAATATCATAGGTATTTCTGGAATTTAGTGTAAAATATTAGGCCTTGCCTCTAAGGGGTAGGAGAGGATTCCTGCAAATTATAAATTAGTTTGTTGATTCGAAGAATTTGATAGCGAAGCAGTGCGATGAATTGGACTACTAGGTGCTGTACGTTAGTAGTTCTTATCGCCTCTTTGTCTCTTTTTCAGAATTCTATAACAAAGTTTGGAGCTTATCGGCTCGTTGACCCCCTTTTGCTTGAAGGTAAGGCAGGAAGGCCTGTCTCTCTGGTGGCCGGTGGCTGTATTACGCCGTTTGGCAGTGGGCCTTGCTGTGCGGCCCCTTCTCTCGGTGGATGGTTTAGGAACGTTGCTTTAGTAAATTTATTTCATAGATAAAAAAAGTGTTCTAACAAGTTTGTTCAGGTATTTTTTTTCTAAGTGATTGAAACCCTTTTAGCCCTTTACACCTGCACTGTATACATATATACACACATATAATATTACGGAGTTTCTTGAGAATTTCCGTTACGACCATTTGATCCGCACAATAATATTTTTTTTTTGACCTACTAAATCTATAATAGTTACATTGCGATATGTGATGTCGTTTACTAAACCGTTTGATCGATGTCACCATATTAATTTGTCCTGCCGAACATTTTTGTAGTTACGACGTGGGAATATTTAGTTAAATTGACCAAAATATTTGATCGATTCAAAATTTGCAATATTCTACCTAAGTGAATGGATTACTCAAATCAACAGCAGATTTCCTTGATCAGATAAAAGATACAGTTGAAATAAATGTATGCAGCGCCAGTACAATGACTGTACATCCGATTAAGTTGAAAAAGAGAGTGTTGAGTAAACTCCGTTTTAGTTTATTTTAATACAGTCGTGCAATCGAGATAAGTGTAGTACACATTCGAAACAACTTTATCAGTATTATTACTTCAAGAACGTTGTAAACAATTCAAAGTTGTTTCGATTGATACAACTAAATTTTTCGTGATCGCAGTTGGGTAGTTGATATTAGCAAACCTTTTTCTCAGTGTAGATATCTTAAGGTTTTTAAGGTTACAGAACCCGAATCTAATATCAGATTTTTTAAATTCAAAATGGTCAATCCAATATAATGGATAAAAAGTCGTAAAACTACTAGGATTTCTATGATTCTCATGTATTTTGAGGTCACTGAATTCGATGTTGGTATCACATTCTGACAATTCGTAATGATAGATCCATTATGGCAAACGAAACTTTTAATATAGTTAACGAAATAGTTGACACATGAAGAAAGAAAAAAATAGTTAAATAGTTGCCGAATCCAGAATCTCGAATCAAACCCAGATTACGAAAGTTAATAGTATAAATATTCCAGATCGGGATGTGTATCATATACGCACCATTCAGTTTATTTACGTAATATTTTGATAATAGCAAAAGATTAATTTCATATAGTTGGTATTCAATGCATGTTGGTACTCGTGTCTATTGATAATTAAACTATATCGGATCGAATCGATAGGCCTTATAATCGCCGTGAGCATCACACGCGCTGTCTTCGACTTTCTCATATGCTAATGAAGATGCGAATGTGTGTCGTATCTTGGTATAGTTAAAATTCCAGTATACTTTTGACTTGGTACAAGTAAATATGTAGGTAGCTAGGTATGTAGGACGTGGGCATATGTCTAAATATTTGCAAACGAATCTGACCTTAGGATTTCTCATGTACATAATAAAGATATCACTTTTATTCCTATTTTCCAGATGACTGCCCGAACTGCGTAGACGAACACAGCGGAAGTTTGGCTGCTTCAAGATGGACGATGCCACTCTTAAAACTCGGAGAAAAAAGATACTATCTTGGAATTTTCTTCAAGGTATGATGATATTTTTGTCATCACCCGTTGCCACGAAATGATAATTTCGCTGCTCGTAACCATTACTTTGGCGTGGCCACTCGGAAATATCACCCTCGAGAAATCCACATCTTGCAGCAGTGAGAGTTCTTGGGATTTGTCGCTCGTGCGATATAACTTACCGTACTTGAGACATCGAGAGAAAACTCTGGGTAAACAGAGTATATATATATCCGGATAAATAAATCATAAAACAAGCCTTTCTAGGAGTCGACCAGTTTCGTCCAAGATATGCCGGTGTATTCGCAACGTAGCAATTTGATGGGGACCCTAGCGAACCTGGCGACCTTGTCAATATCGTTATAAAAGTAGGCGAGGAGATGACGCAAATAAGTTTTCACAATACATCCTCGTATCCTCAATCTTTTAAGCGGATTCGAGAACGGGTTATAGTGTTCGACCTCATTTGCAAGAAAATAATAGCATTCACAATTCTCTTTGCATTTTTACTCCTTCCGCTTATTTCGCTCTTGTGAAATTCAGGCTCGTCCGACATTTCTAAGCCCTAAACAGAATAATGAACTTTGCAAGACAGGTAAATTGAGTTTGAGGTTCAATTTCAGTCAGCATGAAACTATCAGTTTCATTAATATCATTTTTATCATAATAATTATTAGTAAGATAGCCATGCGTTGTAACATCGATAATTGATATCACAATTGGTTTTACTATGTGATTAATTAATTAAAATTCATTCAATTCATTTTGAATTCATTTTGCATTCGCTTCAGAACTATGTGGCTTTAATTAATGTTGTACAACCAGTTACGGGATTAGATGGATCGGATAGTTCCTCGTACAAGTTAAATAACGGAATGTAGCAATACGTAACGCTTACAGAGACGAGTTAGAGAAGACTAGATAGACGTGTTATGGCGCAATTGCAGTTAAAATTGGTTATAAATAACAAAGCGCATTCTTTAAGAGTCATTGGATCTTTTTCTTCGATAGTTTCAAGCCCACGATAATTCCCTAGAAAAAGTTTTACTACACGGTGAGAATGTTTCATTAAAAATTGTCGTGGTTCTACCGTAGAGATCAAATGGATGAGCTAAATTCAGCTGATGCAATGCTCCTAAATAGCACTATACGTTTCTCAATGGAATGAAAATATCAATCAGGTTTTGATTATATTAATAAGATTTTTGGTGTAAAACAACATAAAATTTTACATCGAGCGAGATAAACTTTACCGCGAAGCGCAGTAAAAAGTTGTAAATAACAATATTTACCGTAAGCCCTGTAAAATTCACACACAAAATATCGTGTATTATTAGTAATAAGTCATGCAATGATAACGATGTCTCACGATTACTGGTTTCTACGGTAAATTTTCTCGTGAATTTCATACCAAAAATTGATGAAAAATTCTCTCCGTGTATGTATTCTCTTAATGTGTGGATATATTAGGCAACAGAAGGTACCTGTTATAATTAAATCATACCGATAAAGTGATATAGGTCAGATATTACACAAGAGCCATAGCAGAATATCAGCATTAAATATCGGTCTAGTTGCACGAGTCTTCCACACTGATTGACTTGATCAATGAACATACTAAAGTAACTTTCAACTTGGGCGTTTTCCGCGTTCGTGACCCGCGGAAGCGTTTTGCGTGATATCCTCAGGCCGGCGGGACCGTCCGGGAAGTCTCTCTTTCGAGAAAGACTTCCAGGGATGCTTGAGTAACGAATATTGAGGCTCATGAAACCGGTCAGCCGAAATACTGGTTTTCTGTCGTGCAGGCAAACTGGTACAGGGCGTCACAGTACTGCCGCTATCATGGCATGCACCTGGCCAGTATAGCGTCCCAGGAAGAGAATGACAGGCTTGAGAAACACATTAAAGACTTTGGACTTGGACACGAACATTTCTGGACTTCGGGTACTGATCAAGCGGAGGAAGGCACTTTCTTTTGGATGGCTAATGGTCGCCCAATTACCTTTGAAAATTGGAACGTCGGAGAGCCAAATAACTTCCGGTAAGAAATTACGGCCTTTTATGACTTCTGAACATACCTTTGCCAAAAATCCTGTATACGTGGATAATTATAATAGTCGTTGCTAAATATTAATTCCACCTCTAGGGCACTTCTTAACGTTGTTAACTGTAAGAAGATAGTTCTTCAACATGAAGTTGATATTGAGCAACGACTATGACCATATTAAGAACAGTAAACAAATTGGTACTACTTTTCAGATACGAGAATGGCGAGGAGGAACACTGCTTGGAGTTGTGGAATAGAGATGGTAAGGGTCTGAAGTGGAACGACAGTCCCTGTAGCTTTGAAACATTCTTCGTTTGTGAAGTGCAGTGATCCCTAATTTTTAAGAAGTATAAGTTAAATTCCGTCCGAGTTAATGAGTTGTCTGTCTGAACTTCAGATACAGCCCACGAAGGCCGAAGTAAAAAATCAAATTCTCTCTTTCTGTTAAGTTAGTGTTCTATACTGGTTTTATTATAGATTGGTGCAAAAGGGAGATTAAATGCATGCGATGACTTGTATTACTTACGCCTATATTCCGTAAAGTAATTGCATAGAGAGACTCGCTATGTTGGAACAAACTTTTATTATAATGTGCAGCTTACCTGTAAATGGAAATTATTTGAAAACTATTTACGCCTAACTCTCGTTATTAGTGAAACTCGTGATCCTTACTGTGGACATCGATTAATTTAAACTATCATCGGTATTTAAAAATTGCAAATCAACGCGCGATGTGTGAGGGACATGCACGAGTACAATGCCAAACATAGACTGCCAAAAAATCCGAAGCAGCTATTTTGCTTTAATGGACATGATTCGATGTATATCTATGAGTAGAAGTAGTATGTGCGTCAAGTGTTTAAAGAAATGGTAGTCATATGAAAACACCAATAATTCATCAATTTCTGAGTTCAAATACATATGTAGAATAATATTATTTAGCATAGGTTATTATAGATATCATAAATGTTACAACGTTTTTTCTTATCTTTGATAATTTTAAGTTAATCCACGATACAAATGAAAGATTCGTACACGTACGTTTAGTAAGATAACGATTATTTGAAAACTTTATATATAAACGGTACACATAGAAAAATAGTCAGGTGGGTCCTTCTCATAATAGAATGTTTGGATTATTCCTGAAATGAGAGATTATACTGTCATAATCCGTTTGTATCATAAATCAATTGAAATATCGGTCGCTTTCCTTCTTTTGTTTATTATTTCTATAAAACTCTAGTAGCAACACCGATTAATATCGAAATGATTCTTTTGACATTTTCAAGTGGAAATACATAAAATACAAACACGCTTTTAAAAATCTGTAGCAGGATTCTATTATCGAAAGCGGAAAAAATATTGCTATACAATTCTTTTAAACTCGTCTAGATTTTAAAAAAGAAATAAGATTTAAGAAGAAGAAATTTAAGAAGAAATAAGGCAAGCTTTTACAGCATTTTCTATTACTTGCACTGGCATGCACTGATAAGAGTGTTAGTTCCATTGATAACTTTTGATGCACATTATTTCACCACTCCCTCTTCCAATCAATTAGTGCGGATTATGTTTACAGGTACGAGCTTACGGCCCATGTGAGTGTATCTTATTATCTTTTGCTTAATATAATTTTAAAAATCGCAAAATAAGAGTATAAATTGCACTCGGCATAATGAATAAAAACTCTATGAAAGTAATACAATTTTTTAAAATAAAATAATTTTGAAAGTGTGCTGAACTCATTTCGTTCCACGCAAAACAGACCATTTTAAAACTAAGTGAAATAATATAGAAAGCGCTTTGAATTGCATTGATTACTTCTTTTCTTTTTTCATTTTTATTTGTTTTGCAACGATAAAATTAGCAATTTTTCAAATATTCGTTACGAGATGCCAGATACAAAGTGCGGAACAAAAATATTCATATGACAAGAAGGCCGAAGTAAAATGAACTGTAAATTTCAAGATTGATTCTTTTATTCACAAACGTGTAATGATATATTACACTTCGATTTTGATATAAGCAAATATAAAATATCACGCGTGTTCGAATAAAAAAGTTAATTTAGAAACTTCTAAGTTCATTTTATATCGGCGTTCTTGTAAGAATATTTTGTCCCCGACTGTATATGTTGTAAGTTCATCTTGGACTAAACTTCTCTTTATAAAAAAGTATGTGTCACTACCTTATTAATAAAAACATATTATTATTAATTTGTAATTAAAATGTGAAATTTACTGACTGTTTTAAGGAAGTATCTACGAATATTAATTTAGGAGATCTTACCATAAAATTCATGTATGTTATGGATCAAAATACTATGAAGTAGCTTGAAAAATTAAAACAAATTCCACGGAGTAGAGGTAACGATATTCGAAATTAAAAAATTTTTGTAGTACGGATACTTACGGCAGATTGGGTAGCAATAGTTATTTCTACAAATTGTACGCATTCAAGTAGAAGATTGCAAGTAAAAAACTAAATGAAATTAATAAATGAATCTTCCTACAAAAAAGAAATCGTACGTTTCGACAGTAAACGAGAGAAAAAAGTGAAATAAATGAGCTAGAACGATTAGAACCATGTTAGTAGCTAAAGATGTACGAGACGTAGCAACGTCGCATACTGTACCTCTTTCTGCACCTGCGATTAGTCGTGTTCGCCGAGATCTGTTAAAGTAACAGAAGAAATTACCGAGTGAAAATAACGGGATGGCACTAGAACAAGATGCCTTTGATCTAAACCATGTGGTAAATTTTACCAATCTCAAAATTTAAAAAATTTTTTCATTGTGAATTATCCGCTCTTAGAACGGGGTGGTACAATTTCCCTCGAATTCAGCAAAAATATTTTCATTTGCTAATTTCTTGGTTTTTACAAACAAGTGATGTGATACCAATCTCGTCACTCTTGCGAAATTGCCGCGTTTACCTCTCAACATTCGCCCTATGAGTTGAGCCTTTTTATTCGTGACAAAATTAAGTTAGCACAACAGTCAATGGAGTGTCTTTGCACATGATAGTTTGTAAAATAAAAACTAGAAATGAATGACATTCTTTGCTGCTACATTACACAATGATAAAAGAAATAGTGTACAGCATGCCACGTAAATATGATTTCATCAGACTGAGTAATTATGAGGTAAGAATAGACAGTGTGATCCTCAGAAGCCTGCTTAAAGGAAGTTTGTATTGGATTGCGCCGGATACCATAGTGAAAGATATAATCACTTTCTTCTCATTATAAGCATCTGAGATCTTGAATCGAATTTTGAAAATAATACTATAATTCTTTAATTTCCTTTACAGTAAAAAATATGAGTAAGAGTATGAGAAAGTCAGTCACTTCTAATTAAACTGATTATTTCGTTGCAAAGTCTCAATAAATCGATAAATATATCATTCAATGTATGCAACAGTCATAACAGGTTTAATATGCATAAATCAGACAAATTTGAATCAGGTAACAATACCAGAAATAGAACTTGTTCCTAGAATTTCATCTGCTGAAATTTCAAATCTTTATGCATAAACTGATTCTCTGTCTACATTGCGCACTATTGTATAATGAAAGAAATCATTTGTCACTACAACAATTTGTGTCGATAAACAGGAACCCTATTCTCGAAATCGTGTCATAATTGTGGCATGTCACTTCAGTAGTTTCGTTTATTACTGTGATGGCGCTGGTAGGCAATTTTGAAATGAAGTAGGACTGAGGCCCGTTTTCTTCGACGTGGTTCAATGTATTGTATAAACTCGGTTTAACTGTGCTATTAGCCAATCAGACCCTTTTATTTTGAAGATAACCGGAGCTTATGCATTAAACCGCATTCAAGAAAATGGGCCTCAGTCCTACTTCATATCAAATTTGCCAGACAGCGCCATCACAGTTATAAACGGAACTACTCAAAGTGGCATGCCACAAATGTGGCACGATTTCAAGAATAGGGTCCCAGGAAGTTTGTTCAGTCAGTGACAATATAAAATTTATCGAAATGGGGAGCTGGACCAATTTTTTCCCGTTTTTCGTAATTATGGTACTATAAAAACTATGAATATTGATGTCTTAAGTAAATAATATGCTTATATTTGTCAAACAATTATATTAATCATGTTGCACAAATAGCATTTCAAACGCCCTGTTGAGTCACGTGACAAAATGGCCGTAAGACTTCATATCCCCCCAAAAAACACTTACGTGTAAAAAACTACGCCAAGTACAGGAGTGCTGTGTATTACTCTTATAAAAAGTATTGATATCAGATTATTAAGGCCAAGTACATAGCCCCAAACAAACACTTACGTGTAAAAAACTACGCCAAGTAAAGAAGTGCTGTGTATTCCTTTAATAAAAAGTATTGATATCTGATTATTGAGGCAAAGTACATAAGTACATATGTTTGCCTATTATATGATCTAGCACTGGCCCATCATTTTAGTTGTATTTTCAAAACTTCCTATAACGTTTTCACTACTCTTTTACATTACTACTGCTTCCCGTAGTTGATTATGATTTAATGGTCATTTAATAATTAATAAAACTTCAGGTGGTTCTTTATAGAGTACTGCCTGGCGGGTCCGTGCCAGGAATTCCAAAGTACTTACTTTGAACATACTAATAGTATCCTAAGACTATATGTTTGTTATTAAGCTTTCACTATGATTATTATTTACGAGTCATTGTTAATATGCTCTATATAGGAAGTTGACACTGATTTTGAGTTTAATGACTGGCATAATGAACGCAAATTTATATCAAGAAATGCACGGACCCGCCAAGTAGTACTCGATAAGGAATCACATAAAGTTTTGTTAATTATTAAATGACCATTAAATCATAATCAACTACGGGAAGCAGTAGTAATGTAAAAGAGTAGTGAAAACGTTATAGGAAGTTTTGAAAATACAACTAAAATGATGGGCCAGTGCTAGATCATATAATAGGCAAACATATGTACTTATGTACTTTGCCTCAATAATCAGATATCAATACTTTTTATTAAAGGAATACACAGCACTTCTTTACTTGGCGTAGTTTTTTACACGTAAGTGTTTGTTTGGGGGATATCACAAGTTTTTGTTGCTCAACGGGACATAGAAGCTCTAAGCACTGAAATATACATTTTCACAGATATAAAATGTAAAATGTCGCTAATCAGAAAAATATATTGCGTTGTCGAAAATGTTTGATGGCATATAAATTTAATTTGTAACTCCCTTGTTTTTTAGAAATGCATAAGATACATACAAATTTTTAAAGAAAATGTAATCTTCAATGCATATAAGCGTCGTTAATGGTGTCCAGCTTGTTGAAGCCATGTGGTAAACGTAAGAGAGGAGAGTGTGCTGTATTATTTACGTACCTCACGCCGTGCGAACAACAGAGAGGATACTATAGTTTGAGCGAAGCACCAAAGCGTCGCTCGTTGCACACTTTTATGGGCACTCTGGACTTCCACATCCACTACCTAGATACAAGAAACTACAGAGCGGAACACCTGGACACCCTGGACTTCCACGACACCTAGATACAGGAAATTATGGAGAGGAACATCTGGAAATCCTATATCTCTAAAAATTGTCACCTAAAATACGAAGAATTATGTCAAAGCACACACATACTATAACGTGACAAAACGATCAACCTCTCAGTACTCCTGTACTGAGAGCGCACTCGTTACAAATAGACAACAAGGACGCGCGGCTAGTGTCAACACTAGCCGATAGATGAAGAACGTCTCCCGAAAGTCAAACCGAGGAAAAGTAGTATCAAGATAATCCAATAGAGGAGTAGCGCTTCTCGCTAGTAAATATCGAATTACAATTCGTTAAATACGACATCTCAAATAAATCGAGGCAAGGTAGTCGAAAACCTGAAGTATTAGAAAAGATAGTCGAAAACCTAAATTATTAGAGGAGATAATCAGGATTTGAACAAACGAAGTATAACTTAGTCGAGAAGTACCGCGAAAGAACGGTATCCTCCGCGTAAATAGAAATCCGTCAGGATAGTGCAGACTTGTGTCAAAAGATTCATAGCAAATAATCTTGTCGAAAGGCTACGGAATATTAGCATTTGCTGTTCCGATTAAACCGCAACGTAGAAAAATTGTCAAATTTCTGAGGAAACCACCGTGATCTACCTCAGAAACTTCAGTTATCGCCATTTTGTTTTATCTATTATTCGCGCCGTTAGTAGTTGCGTCGCATCCAGTGCCATAGCCAATAGGTAGGCAAACCGCCACTAGGGCGATGGAACCAACACCGGCAGATCCTCTGTACCTCACATACAGGTCAGAAAGAGATAGGGATAGAAAACAAACATAGGCCTTTTCCCTACAATACCGACAATTGATTTGGACTGGGTAATTGGCACCGATTACAAAACTACTGTACCGATTATCGATTATTTAATAAACTTTTATTTTATTTTACTTTACGCACCTGTGTCGACTACATTCTTAAAGCCGCCAGCTCCGAGCACTTACCTACATCCCATTTCGTACACTCATAAGCAGCGTACGTAATAGCACTATTGACAAACGTTACAATAACACGCGTGTTACGTAACCCGCCCGCAACGAGGGACAACAGTAATATTTACAGCAATCAGCTGGCGAGTGGCCTAGTGCCCGACTCGTCGGCTTCACAATATTTACAAATTTCGAACGCCGAGACAATAACGGTACTTGACCTCCTGGGAATTCACCTAATATACCGAATACGTTG